TCTGGGCAGCCCCGTCTCCCTGGGACCCAGATCCACGACTGAGGTATGGGGCAGTACCAGCCCCAGGAGCTCAGGCTGATGGGAGAGGCCCACCCGGCCCCCAGGAACCCAGGCTGGGAGTCTAGACTGGTGGAGGGAGGAACGCGCCCCTGGGACCCTGCTGGTGGGGCGCAGGTGGCACCTGCGAGACTGACGCAGGGCTCTCTTGGGCTACGACGTCAGTCTGTCCCTGGGGCCCCGTCCCGCGTCTGTTCCTGGGTCGGCCTTCGCCCGGGTGAGCCTGGGCTGGGGGTCCTGACGGAGGCTGCTGCGGGCTGGGAGTCAAGCCTCCTCCCGGACCCCGCGGACCGGATGGGTCGGAGCTGGGTGGGGGTGGGAACACCGAGGACAGACCCGGGGTAGGGGCGGGGCCCTGGCAGCTGGGCGGGGCCTACACAGGGGGCGGAGAGAATCCAGCCAGGTAATGGCCCGTCGCGCGCTCCCCGGCGCCCGAGCCAGGTGAGCGCGGCATAGGGCCGCCGCCGTCGTTGTTACTCCTGGTCAGGGTCCTCCACGGCTCCCGCCCGCCCGGCGCGTCCCGGAGTCCCAAGGCCTGGTGAGATTGTCCCCAGGGCCGGAGTCCACGCGCTCCACTCAGAGGGGGTGCAGGGGCCGAGGAGGTGGCGCGGTCCCTGCTCACGGGGCGCAGTGAGTCACCGGGAGGGAGCGGGTGGGGCGCGGGCGGTGCCCGCTGAGCTCAGACAGGAGGCACGCAGAGGGGGCAGGCGGCCTAGGCTTCCACGGCGGCCACGGGGTCCTGGGTCCCGGAGCCCCGGGGAAGCGCGTGCTTCCTGGAGAAGGTGCCGCCGTGGTTCTCGCCCTCCCGGCCCCAGGAGCCCGGCCTCCTTGTTGTTCCCAGGTAACCGCCCCGCGCGTTCTCGGGGGAGTCTGTCAGCGGCGCCGTCGGTGGGGGCTCGGCACCTGGGTCTGGAGGGGAGGATTGAGACCAGGACTTCACGCCCAGCGGGCCGCCCTCACCGCTGGGTGCCTGCCCGTGCGCAGACTGGGAAATGGGCTAGGAGACCTCCCCCCCCAGGTGAAGTCCTACCCCGCCTCCTGAAGCTGAACTTTGACCCGAATCGCCCAGCTGGGTGGGGCTGGGTGCGCAGGGACGTCAGCCGTGCCATCGCCGAGGTCCCCTGCGCGCTCCCTTGGGCTGGCCCCTCCTCGCATCTGTCCAGGGTCGCCCCGCTGCGCCCAGGCCTCTGGGAGAGTTGGGTCACCGCCCAGGGGTGGGTGCTGGCGGGGGGCGTCGGCGCTTGCCCCCTCCGCGCTTGTTTTGAAAACAGCGAAAGCTCGGATTTGCCGGCGCCGCGGCTCGTTTTGTTTCCTCTGATTTGTTTAACGCTCCCGGCTAATTGCAGATTTGCATTTTCGTCGCGTGAGCGGAGGCTCCGCCTCCCGGCTGCCAGCTGCCGGGCGGGGGAGGGGAGGTTCCCCGATACCCCCGCTCGGGCAGACACCCCTTGCCTGTCTTTGGGGGCAGCACGGCCCCCACCCCTCTGTCAGAGACTGCCCTCTCCGCATTGGGGGCCTCTAGGCAGGGCCTGTGCCTCCGAAGGGCCCCCTCCCGGTGATGGGCCCCCTCCTCACGTACATAGGTGGGCGTCTGCGCCTGTCCCGGCGGGCGGATCGTGATCCTTGCCTGCCGGAATCCTGCCTTCTCCGCCTCGTCAGTGCCTGGGTCCCCGTCTCGAACCGTCTCAGCCCCGTCTGGGAGCCTTCTCTGCCCGCCTCGCGCCTCTTTTGTCCCGCTAGCTTCTAGCCATATTCCTAACCATCTTCTAGCTGAGTATTCGTGCTTACGGCCCACGCAGCCCCCTCCAGCTCTGCCACCTCCTGCCACAGGGCCTGGCCTGCTTTCCATTGTTTTGATTTTAGCTTGAAGAAATTGCTCGGTCTGTGTTTGCTTGAAAACACCCATGGGACACAGAAAGAACCCAACTCTACCCCACACCCTAGAGCGCTTCCCCAGGGGGGTGGGACCTGGTTGAGAGCAGGGACACTGTCCTTCATGCTTTAGGGACCTCCTGTTTACAGAATCCGGGGCTTTTGGGGGACCTGGCGGCTACTGGTCAGATTCAGAGAGGAACGTCAGCATGGGCCACTGGGGAGAGGAACTCCCCATCAGTGTTCTGGTTGGGGGAGGAGACACCTCAGGTGTGTGAAGCCCCAGGGACAGGCTGGGGGTGCACAGGTGCTTCTGGCTCACCGCAAAAAGACAGGGTGACACCATGTTGCAAGCATTCCCTGGGGCCTCCTCCCTGCTGGCACAGCTGTGAGGGTTTCTCCACACACCTACCCACTCACACCTCATGCAGTCCTCTGAGTGGGTACTGGAGTTACCCCATTCAACAGATGGGGAAACTGAGGCACGGGGTGTTTTTTTTTTTGTTTTTTTCTTGACTTGCCCTCATAACCCAGGTAGGGAAGTAATGGAGCGGGGGTTTGAACCCAGTAGTTTGACTCTAGAATGCTGCCCTCAAGGCCCCTTCAGGCAGCACTGGGGTGACGGCATGACTGTGACCACCCTGGTGAGAGGTCATGGCCTCTGGCCTGTGGGCAATGCAGGAGAAAGGCCTTTTTCTAAGGGTGGAAGTAGTGACCTGGTCAGACCCAAGGGCAGAGTATAGAGCCCAGCTGTTTTGGGGGAATGGGCAGGGTGGGAGAAGCAGGCGGCCAGGTCTGGGCAGTGGACAGAAGAGGCTGGACTTGAGGGAGTTGGGGGCCCAGGTCTAGGCAGCCGAGGGAGGAGAGTAGGGCGTTGGGGTCCAGGCTGGGCTCTCACAGGAGACAGATACTGGGAGCAGAGGTCCTTGCCCACCTCCACCACCAGGGAACAGCGGCCGGGAGCTTGGCCCCCTGGTCACCTCGGTGGGTCACCTCGGGGCAGATCTCTCGGGGGCTGGGTGGGCAGTGGGGGGTTGCTGGCTCCCTGGCCACAGTTCTGGCCGTGGTCTCAGGAGACGGGCATCCTGAGGAAGAGGCCAGCCTCCACCAGCCTCAGCTGGGGCGTTGGCTGGGGCCTGCGTTGTCTGAGAACTGGGTCAGTGGAGGGTGCTGGTGGCGTTGGCGGGTGGGACAAGTTGGGGGTGGAGGGAGTGTGAGCACATGTGTACACTGGGGCTGGTGGCATCCCTACGAGTGGGCAGGGCTGCAAGTCCCCGTGCCATCCACGCACTGGGGATCCTGCAGCCTCGCAGCCAGATGGCCCCACTTCTTACGAGGCCCGAAGAGGCCTCTGCTCTGTAGTTTGGCCACTGAGTCTGCCTGCGGAGCAGACTCCCTTCACAAAGGCTGCGTTGAGAGTCCAGAGCAAAAGGACACCCCTCAGCCTCCCCCACGCCCACATACACACCCCTTGCTGTGTAGCCTGAGCCCCTCAGCCAAGTTAACTCTTCCCTGCTCGGCCCAAGGCTAGGACGCAGCCAGGGCTGGCAAGATGTCATGTGCACTTGTGGCTTGTGTGTTCACATGGGGGTCTACCCATGTCTACCTCTCTTTCTCCCGAGCCCCTGCTGTCTCCCTTGGACCCCCCTCAGGTCCAGCCCTGGGTTCTACTCGGGAGTGCAGTGGGGTAGGGGGCCGTGCAGGGAAGTGGGCTGCACAGGGTATGTTGAGGACCTGGGTGAAGCGGCATGGGGGAGAGAAAAGTCTGATGGAGGAGGGATTGGGGGCCAGGGTTGGTCCCCAAGCAAATGGGCAGGGCAGGGAGCATGAGCGGTGGCTGTGGGTCTGGGATGGAGAGATGAGGTTGGAGGGAGAGGTCACCAAGGATCCTAGAGGCAGAGGGAGCCAAGAGTGGGGTGGGGGAGGCCGTGAATACTATTATGTACACCTCTGTTTATTTTTATTAGACAAGTAATATGTGAATATATTCTTTTCAATTTCTTAAAAGCAAAATAAAATCATTTTGCTGCCCCACCACTATTTTCAATTTGGACGCAAAGCTTCTATAGGGCTTCCTAGGCTATAATCTTTATGGGAGCACATCGCCAGGTCTTTTCTCCCTTGAAGCCGTTGGTGGGTTCCAACCACCTGCCTTTCATTTAGCAGCTGAGCACTTAACCACCGTGCCACCAGGGCTCCTTCGTAGATATTTACACCTGTGGAAATAGATGGAGGGGGTTGAGATACCTGGACTCTTGCCCTAGCCTTTCCTGGGGGCAGCATGCACCACCTGCCTTTTATCTGCCACTCTGTTTTTCACATTTCCTCTTGATGGGCACACGTGGGTCCCAGTTTTTTACTGTAACAAACCATGCCGTGACAAGGGTCCTGGAGCTGGGCCTCCCCTCTGCACATACATCAGTGTTTATCTGAGGCGGAGAGGATACAATAGCAAGCATGAACCCAGAGCTACAGTGTTACGGTCACTTTTAAGGCTTTTCATGAATGCATTCATTTAGTCCTCACAGAAACCCCAGGGGATAGCTCACAATTATTGTCTCCATTTCACAGATGAGGAAGGGAGGAGGCACAGAAGAGTTAAGTAACTTGCCCAAGGTCACACAGCTAGTAAGTAGATATGCTGGGGTCCTGGGGCATGCACATTTTTCAGGAAGAATTTTTTACTTTAATGAAAGTAATACATGTCCTTGGTTTTAAAAAAGGCAGACAGTACCAAAAGACACAATGAACAAAGGCTGTCTTCTGCTCCACACACCCCCCACCCCCACACCCCCCACCCAGGAGGAGTTTGAACAGAGGAGACAGGGGCTTTTCCCACTATGTTGTAGAAAGACGCTGTGGGTGGGGATGCATGGTGTTGCTGAGCTCCGGGGAATGAGGGGACAGAGGAGGCTGGGGCCCCCCGCTCCAGGATAGGAGAGGCCAGGTGGGGTTCCAAGGGCTGTGGGCTGTCCTCCATCCCCAGAAGTAGGAGGGCGAGGCAGGCCAGGCTCGTGGTGTGACCCGTCTTTCCTTTGCCTCCTAGAAAACCTTGATGCCAGCTTGCAGCTGAGATTGAACTGGATATGGAAGCCTCGGTGAGTGGGGGCTGCAGTCTTGGGGGCAGTGGGGCTGGAGGTATTTTCAGCGTCCTTGTGGTGGCCTTGAGGCTCCGGCCTGGCCAGGTCCTGATCACATACCTCCCTGTCAGCCCCTTCCGGAGGGCTATGGGGCTCCAGAGGGTAGGGGCCCAGCCCCCTGCCCACGGGAGGAGAGGGGCACTGTGAGGCAGTTTGGCTCTGCAGGCCCAGCTGCTTTAAGAGGTCCAGCCATGCTGGGATGGGGTGGTCTCCATAGTGAGGCTGGGGCAGCGTCTGGGCACTGGAGCACTGGTTTCTGAAACGTTGTTGCTAGGTACTGTCAAGTCGATTCCTACTCATAGGGACCCCACCTGACACAGAAGAATTGCCCCATAGGGTTTCCTAGTTGATAAACAGGTCTTTTCTCCCATGGAGCCACTGGTGGGTTCGAACTGCCAACCTTCCTGTTAGCTGCTGAACACTTAACCATTGGGCCACCAAGGCTCATTTTTCTCCAAAGGGAAGGTTGAGGATTTGGGCTGGGGGAACAGGCCTCCCACGCTATTCCCTCAGCCACCCTCTGCTGGAGTCCGGGGGGGCCCTGGGGGAGAGAGGCACCCATCCAGATGCTTTTCCGGGCCAGCAGCAGCCAGAGTCCGTGCAGCTTCTTGGAAGTGACCTTCAGCCTTTGGCCAGGAAGGCGGCTGTCTGATGCCCATGAGGAAATCCCCACAGCCTGGTGAGCAGGGGTCCTGGGCCGCCTTCAAAACAGGAAGTGCCCGCTGCCTGCCTGTTCCAGGAATGCTGGTGGCAGGAAGCCCCCCTGGCTGTTCCTGGTGCCTCCCACATGGCTCTGTCTGTCACTGGGTCAGATGGGTCACCCTTTGCTCCTGAGCTCCCTGGCTGGCCTGCCACGTCATCTGTGGTTTCTTTGTCCAGGAAGTCACCTGAGGTTTCTTTGTCCAGGAAGTGACCCCAGTCCCTCCAGGTCTCTGGACCACAGTTTGCTTAGCAGCAGCAAGCGTTCATTCCCCAGGACAAACACAGACAGACAGACGGACACACACACACACAGACACACACACAGACACACACACACAGACACACAGACACACACACACA